CACTTTCATGTTAGTTAGTTTCAGTTTTGCAGACAGAACAATAACGCGCAGGCAACAGGCAGCTGTATGCCCATCAGCATCTGTCTATCTCCTCTGCTGGCAGCAGACAAACAAAAAGTAATTCTAGACCTTGTTAGAATTTGGCAGTTGAGAAGGTCTCTCAGCTATAGTCCTAAGTGCTGAGCCAGCAAAGCATTGGCTCCAGAGGGGCTTAAGCATTTATCAAGAGTTCCTTCAAGGTCAAAAGTTTAATACCTTGTTACGTGGTCCTTTCTTCCTCTGTGAATTCTGTTCCCTTTATTTTGTTAAAAAATCTTCAATCACTGAGCATGAAACATAATTTGGATTGGGCGGTACAAGGGGCTTGATCTAATGTATCTGAAATTCCAATTTTGTATTCCGTATCCCGAGGTGGCAACCACGACTTTTGCAAGAGAACTTGAAGATATGTAAAAACATCAGAACCCTTTCCGAATTAAGAAAGCTCCCCTTGCCCCACTCAGAGGAGACCAACGGGTTTATTAGCCACTTTGGTTGAAAATTTAAAGGTTACTTAGCAACTTGAAAGAGTCTGCCATCTGTGAAGCTGTAGATTTAGGCCTCCACCTGATACCAACAAATTGCTCTCTTGTCTGGAGGGAACTCTCTGCAGCTCATTTTGGAAGTATTTTGATTAAACTCTGCAGGTGGACGGTCTGGTTGGCGAGTGCAGTGGGCTGGAAATACTGTCAGACCCTGGTGCCTTCTATTACGCTTATGAGGCCAAAATGATCAACTATTACAGGAGCTGCCTGAATCAATGGTGACTTGAATTTATAACTATCACTTTTGGGGAATTGTGTTGACTCAGGTGGTTTCTGGGAGTTTCAATAAAACAACAGGGAGAAAAAGAAAGAGTTTCTTTGGTTAACTTGCATATAAAGTTAAAGGGATTGTTCACATATAGATTCACTGTTAGCACTGGAAATCAACCTCATACAGAGAGAGAGAGCGAGCAGCAAGAAGAAAATCAAACAAGCTCCTACAGATCATTGTGCATTAGTCAGTTGCTATAAATAGATTTGAGTGAGGAAAAAAGCTGATAAAGAATACAGTGGGATTTTTCAAAGCAGTGCAGATGATTTAGCCCCAGGTCCTCCATAAGTGTGTTTGTTTTATTTGTTGTTTTTTTTTTTGTGGGAGGGGGCTAAAGGGATGAGGGTGGAGTTCACAAGCTTGTCTCTTCCACTAACAGAAGTTGGTTCAATAAAAGATACTACCTCAACCACCACGTGTGTTTCATTAAATTTGGTGGAACACGTGGTTAAATCTCAACCAATCTTAAAGAAAATTTAAGATTGGGGTTGTTTTCTCTGTATGAGTGTCTGAGTGATAGCTGATGTAAGAAGAGTAGTTATCGACCATATTTTTTTTTAAGGAAAGGCAGCTGATTTCTCCCTTATTTTATGTCCAGGCTGGGGATGGGAAAGGAGGGGAACAAAAATAGATTTTAAAAAATTACAAAGATAGAAAATAATAATAATAAAAAACCTCCCCTTAAAACTCTCCTTTCCCATGATGCTTCAAAAATCTTGACAACAGTTATTGTGCTGATCAATGTTATCTCATTGTTCTTCCTGGTCTGTCTGTCTTTATCCATCTGTTTTCTCTTGTCTTCTACTTAAATTGTAAACTCTTTGGAGCAGGGAACATCCTTTGTTCTGTGTTTTTACAATGCTTAGTACAAGGGGTTCCCAGGCACTATGGTAATACACATAATTATAATAAAAACTCTGTCTTCTCTTACCCAACAATCCTTAAATCTGCTGGATTCTGATTTGCTGCTGTGATGATCCTAATAACTTAGTACATTTCCCTGACATCATCTCATATGTGGTTTATGCAGTACTCTACACCAAGCTCTCTCTAATAAAACTAAGTCTTTCATTCAAGCCATTTTGTAGGTAGGCATTGAAGAAGCAATGTGGCATAATTAATTTTCTGCATCCGTATTTCTAAGTGGCTTTGTTCTGATTAGGTCAAGCAGTCATCTGCTGGTCACAGACCACACATACCAAATTTGAAGCTGAAAAAACTTTATGTAGGGTAGGACAAAAAGTGGGTTTCAGTCTTTACTCTGGAGCAGCTGTTATTGGTACATAATTTGCTCCATGAAAAATCCTTAATTTGTCAGCATAATTTAGCAGTCCCTGTTCAAAAGTTAGTACATGGAGTAAGAAGAGCTGTTCCATGTCAGGATAGACCTCCTGGATTGTATATTCATAGGTATTTGGTTTCTAGTAATAATACCTTCCATTAATACTGTCAGTCAGCCAAGGATCTCAAAATACTTAGGGCTTTTGTCTGCAATCCTTACTTACTTAAAACTTGCAATAAAATCTATGAGAATTTTCCTGAGTATGGGCTGCAGGAATAGTCCTAACTAAGGTTAAACTTAAGCACGTTCATATGTGTTTGCAATATTGGGTTCCTAGGCAATAAAGCATAATTTTGAAGAATAACTGCCAAATACACATATTCTTTAACAGAAGTTATTTTGCATGATAAAGCTATTTTGACTTTTCCAATTAATAATGATGAAATTAATAAAAAAATATGAACAAAAATAAAGACTAATACATTCCAAATCATGCCCTATGGCATATTAAACAGCTATCTGACCTACCAAAATATCTATGCTGCTTGTTAGAACATACCTGGAAAGAATGGCCTACTCTTTTATTTTCTGTATAGGGTTCCTCCTTAATTAATGCTCTGTGTAAAAGGAGTTGGGAAAACTATTCACCATTCATTTTTCAGATTTCACCCTCTTTTCTGTTCAAGGACAGATGTTGATTTTATATGTACATATAATTTATATATATATTTGGGTGTATACATACAGACTTGTTCACTAGTCAGAAATGCTTATATATTTTATGAAAACACAGCAAACAGCTCATAGTCGTAAAGCTTTTACCAAGTTGTTTGCTATTGGTTGTTACAAGTATATATGGTGATTGGGGTGAGCCATGTGTTATTGTTTCTGTTCCCTGATTGGATCAGTGTCACTGTAACTTGGTCTACAGCTGCCTACACTTTTGATGGCATAAGCAAGTTGCCTCCACGCTGTGGCATGTAGTTACACACGGCGGTGAAAGGCTCCTACTCAGGGAGAGGCAGCAGGGAAAGGCTCCAGCAGTGGGAAGCTGCGAGAGACTTTCCCCGCTGCTGGAGTCTTTCACTGCAGTGGGGAAAGGCTCTGGCAGTACCCTGCCCAAAATAGCCGTGTAGACGCGGGAGGCACTGCTTGGGCATGTAGAGAATCATGTACAGTATGTACCCTGGGTTCAGGCACTCTACTCTGTGCTGCTTTCCTCAGCTGTGCCTCACTGTTTGCATTGTTGTTTATATCTATACAGTGTCTGTATTCTACATGCTGCTGTAAGTGTAGACCTACCTGTGGGGGAGCTGTGATCAAATCACTGAGCCTTAGATTTTCTCAGAATGTGGATTTAGGAGGAGCCGAACCAGTCAGATTAAGAAATTTGTTGGACATTTTAATATTTTTTTTTCTGGGCCACTTGAGTTAAGCTTTACCTGGGACATCACTATAGGAAAAATTGGTCAGAATATTCATACTAAGTAATCCCATGAGGCATGTGCCTTCATAGTCCCAGCCATAAAATTGGGATCCTTTAATCTGTTTTATTTAAGTACTCTTTTTCACTGCTCTCACCAGGAGCTTTGTGCAGTCTTTCTTGCAATGGATACCATCACCATCTTTTCTTGTTTAACTGTGTTATTGCCAGACCCTGACCGGGGGCTTCAGGAAAACAGTCCCTACCTACATTGTCCTGAGTTGTTGGTCAGGACTATATAGCAATATTTCATGTCATGTACCAACTACATTAATTGAATTTCCTGATCTCCAATTTGTTGTTAGCTTTAAGCAAACCTGCCATCAGGTCAACCCAGAGCCCCTCCCCCACCCCACCCCCCGAGCGGAAAGGGGGTGGCCGGACCCTGCTCCGCCGAGGGTCGCCCTGCCCCAGGCTTAAGTCACTGTCCCAAACAAATGAGTCATAATTTCAGCATAGTTCTATGTGTGAGGTCCTAGCTGGCCGCCGTGCATCGGATCACTGGAAAACACCTTCCATGTCAGGGCTTTGGACAGAGATTTGGCAAGCAACTCAACCCCTATGAAGCTGCATTATTACTAAGCAGTGTTCTAGTTTGCAACTGGTGGAGGTGCTACTGAAAATAATATAGCTGTCACCACCTCCCATCATTTCTCCTTCAAATCATGGAAGATTTAGTCATACGCTTGCTCCTGAAGAACTTGCAAGCCCATGTAAATAGAGACAAATTCAGTAACAGTACATGACTGCATCTTCTGTTCTGCCCATATGTCATGTTCGCACATTTAAATTGAGAATGAGTTTGCCCTATCAGATTTACGTATTGTTAATACAGCCCAATGAGCATCTTCTTAAAAAACCAACCAAACAAACAAAACTCCCAAGAAACAAAATAGCACCACCATAGCAACAACAACAACAAAAACACCTGCCTTGTAAATTACAGATGGGTTTGAGTCACAAATTCATCTGAATCCAAACTTCCCCAATGTTCAGAGGTAGTTCGGTTCCAGCCTTTTGGTTTGAACTATTATAGACATTATAATCCAGATGCAAAGTTTGGATCCGAATTTATGTGCTGTTTGTGACTGTTAAGATGCGGTGTTTTGATCTGAGGCATCTCTGTTGGAAAGCATACGGTCACAATGTTACATTGTAATCTGGAATTATGATGCTGCCCAATTGAACAAAGCTAGACTGATTACCCTACTTGATATACAGAAGATGACAGTTCAGCATTAGACCTCATAGCTTCTGCACTGTAGATTGTTTACTGTGACCACATAAACTTTATATGAAAAAAGTTTGTTATGCAGAAATATGTGATTTCTATTGTAAATCTTTTTAAAAATCTATTATTCCTGTCTGTTTTTATTAAAGGAAAACCACTGCAGAAGAATTAAAATTCTAGGGGACTGTTACTATTGTGTATCAGGATTGACACAGCCCAAAACAGACCATGCCCACTGCTGTGTCGAAATGGGACTGGATATGATTGACACCATCACGTAAGTATCTCAGTCACTGTACTTAGGCTTCAGTGCCCAATGGGAAACAGTATTATCCCTGCCATGTTTGTGATGTGTGTTATTAAGGGAGTGGTAGTTTCTGTGGAAACTATGCTCATTTAAACCTTTACAGTGGTACACTTGTGCCATGAGAGAGTCTTGTTTTTACACAGTGCATTCTAGGCACTGCTTTTCTATTCCATTTAATCAGTTTGATGAGAAAAAATGAGTTTGTGAATGCATGCACATGTGCCGTGCAGTGAGGGGGAGAGAGGAAAGGGGAACTCATGAACTACCTCTATTGCTATTTGCCATAGCAGTGTGCATTGAACCAGTAAGCAGGGAATCTAATTCCTGCTTGTTCAATATTAAAACTGCTCTCAGTTCACCCACTTGTATGTAAATGCCAAACAGACTTTGATGTATATCTGTTGTGTGTGTTCATATTCCCAAATCAATTGTTCACTCTGATTTTTGCCTTTCTGTGTGTCATTTTGAAACTTTTATTTTGCTTTTCATCAGACATGCAATGTGAAATTCATTTTGCCTCTCAGAAAAGTTTTCGTTATGCTTCAGAGCTCTGAACTGATTGCCTTTATACCAAAAGGCGAAGTGTGAATGTGAGAGAGTTCTGAATGACCTGCTAGTTACTAAGCAAGAGCTGGAAATGTATTTCATATACTGACACTGGGGAGGGAGAAGGGGGAGAAGAATTTGTGTGGTTTCTTCACTACCATGTATCTAATATTTTACAGACAATATATATGTGAACACACAGACACATAGTCATGCTACATATAAATACACACTGAGTTACATAATGCTACTGCCTTTGGACTAGATTATGGCTTTGCCACAAGCCCTGTGGGAGCGACTCTCCAGGAGCCCTGTTCTGAGAGGGGATAGTAATTGGCTATTAGTTCTTACAAGAAGCTAATTACTGCCCCTGCCCCTTGCATTGGCCATCCCATCTACAGGAGAGGGACCAGAGCTAAGGCTCCACCTCTCCTCATTACTTACCTGCTTGGGAGAGGAAGAAAAGTGATCCTTTCACGCCTGCAGCCCCTTAGTCCCCAGCAGAGGTACATAGATCAAGGTACAATCTAGCCATTAATTTGAAAACAGGCAGTAAAGCATTTTCTGCTATAGTTTTATGTACAGTGATCAAAAACTTAAAATGACTTGAAGTTGTATGATTTTTGAAAAGCATAATTTGTATGCGTTTGCAGTCCTCAGTAACATTTCAGTACTGATTTTAAAGAAACGTTATGAAGGGCCTATAGTGCCTTACTTAGTAGTATCTTTCTGTCTTAGGCTGCCTGTCAGTCTTTATCTATCCTACATATTTGGAGCCAATATCCATGTGTTATCTTGCAGAGCCACGTGATAAATGAATTAGCCTGTGACTTTGATCATTTCACCTCCTCTCTGCTCACTGATCCATCTCTCTCAGGACTTAGGCTAACATTCCAGTCACTATTGGGTGGTTTCTGCACAGTTGCCATGTTTGTTTACTTTTTAAACCAGCTTGCCAAAGAAATGTTTCCTCTGCAGTCCAAAGGTGAAATTTGCAGGCCTCCCTGCTCCCAGAATTCTAATTGCCCAAGTTGCAGAATGGGCAAATTCAGTTCTTGGTCAATGACAGATATCTGACAAACCTCTAAGTCTTGAAATGGGAGCTTCCCAACTTCCCTATGTGGGGGAGTTAGCTTTCACTTCTAGCCTAGGAATGGCTCTGAATGGCAGGTTTAAATTGGTGAGATATTAAGTACTTTTTAGAGGTATTTTTAATGCATTAGTTATATTTCTGAGACGTGAACAGCTGGACAAAGATACTGGGAGCCAGAGCATGCTGTCTGTTATACATGTGCAAAGTCCAGTTTAAGCAATCAGACCAGTGCACGTGCAAACAGGATAATTGAGGCCATAGTTTCACAGTCAGAGCATTATGAAAAATAGTCCTCATAACATCTGAAAAAACTCTCTCACACATTGCAATGAGTATTTTTGTCTATCATATGTGACATCTCTACAATACATGATGGTATGCTGTGTTGTAAGTCTTACTGGCACTTGCAACCTACATAACTCAAAAGTGACTCTGCCACCTGTATGTAATGTGACTATCTGAAATGCATGCTGATAGTACCTGAAATACATGCTTATAGATCCTGAAATGCATGCTGATGTATACACCACACCATCGTGTATTCCATTCATATAAAATAGCTGTATAAGAGCCAGATCATGCTGCTTCATGAAGGAGCTTGGAGCTGTGGAAAATTTTATGGGGTTCTCTTCAATTATTATTATTATTATTCCAAATTCTTTTGAGAGCTGGGTTTGAAGTCATTGAAGTCATGGCAAGGATTGTGTCTTCTAAACCTTGCAGATCCTTTGGAGGTACATGGCAATAGACACACAATTCTGTATCTCCATACCAGCTCTGGAGCTTTGTGGTGGCATGGCTCCATTAGACTTCCTTTAAGGAGAATTCCATAGTGCAGAGAAAGGCAGGGAAGAATCTGATATAGCTAGTGGCTGTATCCCATTTCTGTCTCCTTGTGGTACACTGGCTCAGGCATGATTTGATTCTATGTCCCATTTATCAAAATAACCAAAATGTTAAGAGGTTTGGATAAACGTGTCCATTTTCAGCTATCCATTCATCCAGTATAAATTCCTGTTGTGTATGTATATATTGTGAAATCTGTAATGCATTTTAGGATGAAAGGTGATATACAAACCTAAAGATCTATTATTATTTCTTTTACTATGTAATAATTATTATTTTAGATATTTTTGTTATGTAAATACAGTTAAAATGTACTAACAAGGGATATTTCAGCAATTCAGATATACGCTAGGATCAGAATCAATATTGTCTTTACTAAATAAATGTATCCTGCAAAGCCATCTATGCATAGCATTCCTTCTGTAGTAAATAGGTGTTCCACTTATAGAAAGTCCTTGAATTGGGGAGAAGTAGAGTTAGACATATAGACCTTCTACAAATTCTGTGAACTTCTCATTTAAAATGTATGCAAAGGCACTGCTTCTGCCTCTTACCTATTTTTAAATATGAAAATTAATCTATAATTTCATTAGTTGGACTCTCTTTCATGTTTGCGTTTATTGTCTGCTATCATGATAAAGTAAACATCAATGAAAAGTCAAATTAGAAAAGAGGGAATGAAGCAGATGGGCTGCCATGTATTATCTAGGCACGGTCAGTGAGAACTCATGGTAGAAGATAAGTAACAGGCAACTTCAGCATTTTCTTTTTGACAGGGTTTAATAAATTGGAAAAGACAGCACAGTGTGTGCATTGGAGATTAGGAGATGGTGGGAGAGGGCAAGATGAAAAAGAGTCAAGGTTGACGGAGCAGTAATTGATGGTGTCAGATTTATAGAGAGAGTTAAATTGGCAGAGGCCAATCCTTCATCTTTCACACATTTAAGTAATCCATTGATTTCAATGGAATTACTTGTGTGAGTAAGGATTGCAAGACCCAGACCTGCTGCATATGCCTTCTGTTAGTTTAACTAACATAGAAACAGTGATCATCTCAGAAATCAGAAGAGGGTCAGGGAACAGCTATTGTTACCTTTGAAATCACTGCGAAAATTTTCCTCACTTTAATATGGGTGTAGCAGGGTGGCCTGCCCCTTTAAGGGCCAGGAACCTAGGACCAACCAGCCCTGTTCAGTTTATCAGACTCAGCTGGGGAGGGGGCCAGGTGAGCTTTGCAAACAGCTGAGATCCCTCAGTTGACAGCAGGGAGCTGCAGGAGAGAGGTTGGCTCCTATGACTAGCCCTGGAACAGAAAGATAGGGGAGTAGAATGAAAGACCTCTGGGTTCCAGCAGCCTGCGCTGATTGTGAGGTTTGATTGAATTAATAAACTGGTGCCCTCGAAGAGGGGCCTGAAATGCTCTGGGCATGGCAGTTAGGCCTTTCTGGGAAGGTTGGGGAAAAGCGGACAGGCAATTGGCCTTGGAACTAAAGGGGAAACTGAGGCAGAGGCCCAGGACATAACACTGTGATAGGGAGCAGCATCCAGTCAGACGTTGTTGAGCTGTGTGTGCCGAGATTAGGATTGATTAGAATGTATAGCCAAGCCTACAGACGTTCACAGAACTCAAGAGCCTGATAATAGGATTTTGTTGATGCATAAGTAAAAAAAATTTTTTTTTACTTCTGTGCAGAGAACAAGCTTGGAAAATTTCAGACTCCAGAGGAATTTAGTTTGAGAGTGTAATGAGCAAATGAAAAAGGGGATGAAGGCACAGTTTATAATGGAAGTTGAATTTCAACTTTAACTATTTGTCCATCGGTCTGGTTAGTGATTCCATATATGAAGATGCTGCTATTCATCAATTCCATGAGCTGTGGAAGCATTTTAGGTATTTAAATTACCTTTCATTTCAGGCAACGTCAGAGCTGTAGGACTAGTGGACTTCTCAAGGTCTATTTGCCCCACTGCAGAAAACGTGTATTGCTGGTATAAATCCTTGTCTGGAGAAAGGTTCCATCCCTAGTATCAGCCTTGTCACATTGCACAATGAAATGAAAAATCATCTGTTTGAGCTGTTTGATGTTCACCTGGTGGATCTTCTGGAACGGTTTAATGATTCGGTAATCACAGTAGACATTTCCAATTTACAGGAACGTGAGGAGTAAAGTTTTCTTTGGGATGGACAAAAAAGTCCTAAGTGTATAGAGTTAGCCCCTGATCCTCCAAACACTTACACATGTGAGTAGTTCTATTTGTTTCATGGGATAACTCACATGTGCAAAGTTAAGTATGTGCACAAGTACTTGCAGTAACAGGGTCTTAGACTGTAAGCTATTTAGGGCAGGGACTGTCTTTTACCACATTTTTCTATAGTCCCTAGGACAATATGGTATGTGCTCTCTAACATGTCCATGCAGATGCTCTTTTTCTAAATGCCCTAAATATGGCCCTGCATTTAGGTTCCAGTTGATGGTGCTTCTCC